ATATTTCAATTGTATCATTTTAGTTCTTGAAATATTGAATATATTTATATATGGTCTTTCAAGTAGACAACATCTAAATTGCTAATAATTTTTTATTATAAACTTATTACTTAATACCTATATATAGGCAAAACAATAATTTAAATAACTCTTGACCAAATTTTTATTCAAATTTTGGTAAAAAAGTTATCTAAATTACACAGTTTTGATTATAAGCTATTCAAATTTTAGTTAAAATTACCCATATCATATATTTTTGGTTAAGAGCTACCAAAATTTTGATCAACAGTTATCCAATTATTTTTTGCTCGTATTTAGGTAATGGTCACAAATTTATGATAAAAAATCTATAGTAATTTGGATATTATTTGCTTGAGGAATTACATAGAAAAATATTCAATACGTCAGAGAATAAAATGATACAATTAAAATATTAAAGACCAAAATAAGACAAATGTCATACTTCGAGGACCGTCAATACAATTAACCCTAAAATTTAATTTGAACTCTTAAAGTCCTAGTTATCAACTCGACACTTTTATCGGTGCAGTAAGTGCACAAGATCCTTCTACTTGGGGTTTTTTGGGAGATCCAAATAATAGATTTTTAATAAAAGCAATAATGACAGTATGAATTGAAGAGATTGAGACAAATCAATACATGGACTTTAAGAGCAGTTAGAGTTGTTCTATGGTCAAAAAAAAAAATCAATACGTGAGTGTCGCATTAGTATAGAACAATACCTCATGCAAAAAATAATTTGGCAATAGGATATGGCAATACTATTTAGGAAAATAATATACCTTGCATTCATTGGATGAGTATTGAATAAGCGAGTGTTACTGAAAAAATTGATGGATCTCACTCATCAAAGAAATAATATACATTTGAATTATAATTTTTTGAATTTCATTTAAATTGTATATCATTATTCTACTACTTAGTTGACACCTTGGTTTGTGGGAATAGATCCTCTACTATACAATAGAGGTACTATTCTTCAAAACGATGTCATTTTTCACATAAAACGATGCCATTTTGTGTGTAAAATAACATTATTTTGAAAATCAATACCTATGCTAAACAACGAAGAATTTGGACTCTTGGATTGTTGGTTCTCTTTGGGTTGGAATGAACACCAACTGCTTATGATTTACAATATACGTAGTTTTTGATGAAATTATAAATATTATATTTACAGTCGATGCCTAAAACATTTGCATTGAAATCCGAAGCCACCCAGCTGTGTTCATAGTGGTGGCTTCATTTGAAGGAGCATAATCTTCCACAACTTCATAATAAGATATTAGCTACGTTGTGTAGCTTCGAGCCTCAACTGTCAACCACTTCAATGCATATAGTCATTGTTGTGTTTATTAAAAATCTATTATTTGGATCTCGTAGAAAAAACCCCAAGTAGAAGGATCTTGTGCAATCACTGCACCGATAAAAGTGTCGAGTTGATAACTAGGACATTAATAGCTCAAATTAAATTTTATGGTTAATTGCGTTGACGGTCCTCAAAGTATAGGATTTGTCTCATTTTAATTGCATCATTTTAGTCTATAACGTATTGAATATGTTTATACTTAGTCCCTCAAGCAAACAACATCCAAATTTCTAACGGTTTTTATCATAAATTTGTTACGTAATACTTAAATATGAACAAAAAATAATTTGGGTACCTCATGATCAAAATGTTAGTAGCTCTTAACCAAAAATGTATAAAATGGGTAGTTTTTTGTTAAAATTTAGATAGTTCATGATCAAAACTATATAATTTTGATAATTTTTTGACCAAAATTTGGGTAAAAATTTGGTCAAGAGTTATCCAAATTATTATTTTGCCTATATTTAGGTATTAATTAAGTGATAAGTTAATAAAAAATAGTTATCAATCTGGATGTTGTCTGCTTGAGGGGTCACATAAAAATATATTTAATACTTCAAAGACTAAAATAATACAATTAAAATATTAGAGACTAAAATGATATACATTCTATCCTTTGGGACTCCTAATACAATTCACCCTAAATTTTAGTCAACACAAATAATAAAGGCTATGTTAGGTTTGTACCCAACTTATATACCTACCGATGACCTCGACAAATAGGATCAAGGCGAATAATGTGACCTTGCTTGAAATCGCAAGTCCTAAATTATCGGTACACAACTTGTGGAGTGCTATGCAGTGGTGAAAATTGTTTAAATCTCCTTCCTCAGCTATCTACTGAACTAAACAAAGCCTTTCACATTTTAAAAATAGAAAGAATGCCTCCATGGTAGATGGTCCCTCCCCTTACCCTCTCTATAAATATAAAGGTTTGTGCACCTAGACTTACATCCTCTCATAATCACTCTTAATTAAGCAGGCATTTGTGATCCTTCTTTTTCTTTCTCTCACTGTAAGTTCATTTTAAGACAAGAGAAAAAGATGAAGCTTGCCTTTACCACTTTGCTACTTGTCACACTCCTTCTGGGCTCCACTTTCATGGATGTCACCATGGCTGAGTCAGGTAAAAGTTAACACCTATGCTTTTCTTACCGCCCAAATTCACATTGTAAAATATTATCAATTTTAGGCTAGGCCACTCGAGACGTGGGTCAGTGTGTATAGACTTTGCACTATCAACTCACCCTATATGCGTGGTGTACTCTAAAGCGTGCGGGTTAAAGAACTTTTTTAATTTTTAGTTTATTTTATTTCTTACCATGGGTTTTTGTGGTTGTGTATACCCTGGTCAGGCTCTTGTAAACACAAGTGCAAACTTAGGTGCTCTGAAGCTAAAAAGCCGCATTGCATGAAGGACTGCCATCACTGCTGCAAGAAATGCCACTGTGTGCCTTCGGGGAAGTCTGGGAACACAGATGAGTGCCCATGCTACAGAAACGAAAAGAACAAAAGGGGCGAGCCAAGGTGCCCTTAAATGAAGCTCATGCATGCAAACATGCGGATTTGGATTTTGTTCAATACACTTTTTCTTAAACTTTTCTTAACGGTGGATCCCTCACCATGTTTCATTAAGAGATACATTTTTTGATCTTACTTGAATTTGTTGTCATGGGTGATCTATCATTAAGAAAAGTTAAAGAAAGGTCTATTGAATAGGAACTTGGTCCGTACATCTGTGTCTGTGGGTGTCAGTCCCACTTTCTTTTTTTAGTCATTTCAATATGTGGTGGAGAGGCATAGTTCACAAANTTTCAATAAAGCCACATCATTAGATTAATAAATTATGTCAAATTTTTAAGTCTAAATAACATTACTCTAATTTTAAATCACTGTGAGGGGTGCTCAAGTAATGAGAGTACCCAACACAGATTTGCCAACCTCTTGCATTGTATTACCATAAGAAAAAACAAAAATTCATAAAAAACGAGAGAGATTGCTCTTGTGATTCAAAATAATTACCGCAAAACCTAGATACTATTATTTTTTTTAATAAAGAGTTCATTAACCTGTAAAGTCGGATATCATTTTTTTAGAGATGACATTCTATCTCTAATGGTTGCCAAATTAGGCTTAGTGTGGTTAGGTAGTCTCTGCATTGGTTGTTGATGACTCTACAACTCTTTTTCTCCACCGAGTAGAACAAACTCAGTCTCCAATACTGCCAATAAGGTGTTTCCCCTTTTCCATTGTTGAGCACCAAGTTGCACGAGCTGCTTCCAGATCCTTTGTGAATATTGGCAAGGAGATTGCGGGCCAGCTACATCTATCTAACATAAAGCCACGCTTTCCCTCTCTCAAGACAATGCTCCTATCCTATCGGTCAAAAAACAATTAGAATACTCCATATATATCCAAAGTGAATGCTTTGAAAGACCCATAATTCTAGTCTATAGGGGTTTTGGGATAGGAATAGACAGGATTCACTTCATATCTAGTACAAATCCAATCTAATCCCCTTTTTTTTTTTTTGAATTTCTTAATTTTCTATTTTCACATAAATTTAACTGTTCCCTACGTGGCTTTCTAGGGCTCATCTAAGTGATGTAGGTGGTACACATGCACTCAAATAATAGTGAGCATGTGATTCAGTTGCCTCTCTACATAATATGCAGTCCAACCCCATATGAGCATGAGATGATTGAATCCTATACTTGGTACTAACCCTTCATCTTCTTGCAAGCAAGAGGATAACCCCATTTGAGGTATTTGATGATGCACAAATTAATTTTATGCACCACATGCCAAGTAATTAATGCAGTAAATAAATAAGGAGAGTCAACATAAGCAAACACAATTTATGTGGTTCGGTCAAAGTGACCTACTCCACTACGAAGGACAATGATGGCCTGAGTGTTTTATTGTTTCAAGGAGTGTTGGGTGCTCAAGTGTAAGTAATAGACAAGATACAAGATGTGAGAGATGCCCCCATGTGTAGGCGAGGCTTATAATTTATAGGCGTCTTCTAACAAATTGAAACGCCTTATTAATAACAGAAAGGCTGATTTGGTGGAGTGGGCGCCATCCTCGCAATAGGTGAGGCAGTTGCTGAGAGGACGTGCAGATCTTCTCAAGATCAAGTCCTAGAATGGTGTGGCAGACCTCCTCACTCTAGTATGGCATGGATGAGGCTCTAAGATGGCGTTGCTGACTCTTTCACTCTAGGATGGCGCAACTGTCAAGGCTTCGGTGAGCCTGACTTAATCTGGGTCTCTTTTGGGCCAAATCCATTGGATTTCGTGTGGACTGGGCCTACTATCTGAGTTGGGCCTTGTTTGGGGCCAGACCCATGACTCAAGTTGGGCCTTGGCTAAGTCGGGCCCCACTATCCGAGTTGGGCCTTGGGTTGGGCTCACCGTTTCCCCCCATGTATCGAGTACAATAAGATTTGAAGGAGAAGGCATTAACTGAGCTTGAATTCTAGTTGACGAGGACTTTTCTTGACTGATGACCTTTTCCTTTTTGATATGACTTGTCCATCTAAGTCATCCCCATTTGATTAGGAAACCTCCTTCCTAACCTATCACTTGAGAAAGAAATCTTTGGAGAGATGTCAAGGAGTGATGGCAAGCAAACAAAGACCGATGAGGTTGTCCCTGAGCAGCGTGGCAGGAGACAACATAAGGGTGGCATAGCAGGGAGAAGAGAATTACGAGAGGCTACTGAAATTGGTGAGGAAGCTGGTAGCCTGAGCCTGCGTTTGCGTAGTGGGTGCTAGGCAGACGTTGGAGACGTGACAGACGACATATGTAGCTAGCGCCGAGGAGGCTGGAGCCAGAGTGGCAATGATAGCAGACATCGTGGGAGCAGATAGCGCAAGCGCCGCGGGTGAGGTGGGCATAGACATTGTTGGTGTAGGCACCGTCAATGCAGGAGTAGGCACTGCGGGCATGGACACCGCGGGGACCACGAGCGCTGATCTGGATGATTCACTCGAGGGCACCCGGAGCATGGGCATCATGGTGGAGGGCGCAAGCAGTGCCAGCGGGTGCAGGCAAGGGAACAAATTGGAGCACAGATGAGGGTGGGCATATGGGTAGGTGCAGGTAAAGGAGCACGAGCAAAAGGGGTGCCAAAAGCAGGGCGCCTAGTTGCAAGCAGATTGAGTTCCACGGGCGTGCCTAGAGATGACAAAAACAATGTTACTCTAGCATCAAAATATCCAACATGATTACCTGATGAGAATGGTAGACATATCGGGCTATAGAGAAATAGTTGATAAGTTGGAAGGGGGTGACTTGCGTGAGAGCAGAGGTAGAGTTTGAAGGCTGGTCATGGAAGAGTTGCACCTCTTTAGACCAAATTTTTGACAACCTGCGACAGAGCTGCTAAGTCAGAGGTAGGTTGACTGTCAAGCTACCCACACCATAGTAGAGGTAGAGTTTGAGGGTTGCTCATGAGAAAGCTGCACCTCTTGAAACTAAACTTTTGGCGACTCGTGAGAGAATTCTTATGCTTGAGGTAGGATGACTATGAGGCTGCCCGTACGAGAGAAGGGACGAAGTTTGAGGGTTGCCTGTGAGAAAGCTGCACCTCTTGAGATCGAGATTTTGGTGACCCGCAAGAAAGCCACTAAGTTGGAGGTAAACTGACTGTGAAGCTGCCTACACAAGAACAGAGGTAGAGTTTAAAGGTTGCCCGTGAGAGAGCTGCACCTCTTAAGACTGAGCATTTGGCGACCTGTGAAAGAGTTACTAAACTGGAGATTGAGGCTGCTTGCGTGAGAGTAAAATTAGAGTGAGGCCAAGCTTCTGTCGACTTGCAAAAGAGCCGCTACTCTGGAGATTCAGGCTGCTTGCACAAGAGCATAAGTAGAGTTAGATTGAGCTTTTGGAAACTCGGGAACTTCTCCCTCAAGAGACGGGTTAGATGAGGGAGATGGCAATGAGGGTAGATATAAGGCGCCAACAGTAAGAGACCCACGCTGATGCGGACAGTGAGGCACTATGTGGGAGGCATAAAGCCAGCGGAGCTTGGGCATCGAGCGCGAGAAGCGAGGGCGCTTGAGGAGGGGGCTCCAGATGAGAGGAGACAAGCGCCAGGGGAACTGCTTGAAGAGTTGGGCATGCGCGATACAACGGGCAACACAGGCGTTTGGCGCATGCATGCGTAGGCCCACGGATGCAAGGATGCGCACACACACAAGCGTACGCCAGGTGCACAGGTGCAAGCGCATGTGCACAAGTGTACGGGTGTAGGCACATAGACGCAAACGTTTGGCACGTGGGCAGTGGCGTTGGGAACCGCTGATGAAGGTGCTGGGCACTAGGGGCGATGGCACTTGGCACTGCAAGCTTGGGTGCCCCAGGTGTTGGGACGCTGGACGTTGGTTGTTGGCACCTGTCTGGGCGTTGGCGTTATGCGCCTAGCTGGTGGTTGGTGGTTTCTATTTATTGCACTCCCCTCTACGTGAGGACTCAGCTCGTCTGGCTTTGATGACATCTTCAGTGTTCATGTATTTTTGGCTTTTGATAATAATTTTAGCATGTTCTTTGGCGGGCGCTTCAAAACTGAAAACATAAGATTAGATGAGCGCAACCCTTCTGTGAAGGCCGACATGATGACTTTGACATCTGGTTATTCAATCTAGAGGACTTCCTCGTTAAAACGAGTGAGGTAACTCCTTAGGCTTTCTTCCTGGTCCTGCTTGATGCTGTGCAGGTGGGTGGTAGGTGTCTGGTGTTGGCATCCTCCAATGAAGTGTGAGACGAATGATTTGCTTAGTTCAGCAAAAAAGTCAATAGAAGTTAGGGTAAGCTTGACAAACCATTGGTGAACAGATCCCTTGAGGGTGGTCAGGAAAACCCTCCACATGATCTCGTCTGGTATATTGTAAAGCTGTATCAGGGATTTGTAGGTGTCAAGGTGGTCCAGTAGATCTTTGGAGCCATCAAAAGCTTCCACGATTGGCACCTTGAACTTCGTAGGGAGAGGGTAATTGGCCACATCGGCTACAAAGGGCGTGTCGGTGTGCCTCTGTCAAGCCCCAATTTTCATTAAAGCGTGATTTAATAAAAAGAGATATTTATCCCAAATTCTCTTGCCAGTTTACAATAATAATTGAATGAAATGAAACATTTGATTTTTATCAAAACATATATATATTTTTTTTCAAAAATTTTGGCAGAGTTTCTTTTGAAAATTGGGCTTCTAACCAGCTTGTAAGAGTATTCCTATGAGAGCATAGCATAATTTAAACTAACTAAACATCCACAACATGTCTCCATAAAAAATATAATCCAACTAAATCCGGGGTGGCAATTAGAGGCCCACGAAATCCTCCCAAACCCAGATACATCAAATACCAATATATACCATAACTTAGTACACAAAGTCATACATTTATATTACAATACCCAAAATAATAATCTATCTATGAGATGATCAAGTATACACCATTAATACCTCAAGACATCCTTTTCAAACACACTGTTTGAGTGCTAACATTTCTACATAAGTTTTAAAGGTAAATACAAAAAGGCTGCAAAAGATATTCTTTCTAGTTCAAACTCCGACAAGCATTCGATCATTCATAAAAATCCCCCAACACCTAATTATTAGAAATATACAAAGTATAAATTAAATTTTTATATATTTAAAGTCAAACCATCATAGCAAATATCATGCATGCCTCTCATACGGACTATGTAATCAATCACACTAGTTCACGTATGAACCATCCCCAAGAAAACTTTTGGATCTTGCACCCTAGGATTTCATCGCCCTTCTTGCTATTCAAGGGGAACGTGTAGGGCAAAACTTGTGACGCCACATCGGCTATCACAGAAACTCACTACCATAACCAATCCCCCTTAGGACTAGTAGCTGTTTTGGAAACCCGCTCAATAGGTTCCAATCATCTACTAACCCTTTGTCTGTCAATATCGAGCATATATTTTTTTAAAATTATTATTTTTTATATCCATAAATCCTTTTGAAAACCCATGTCATAATCTTGACATTTTATCAAAACATATAGTATACTCAAACCTCAAAATTTGTATTTTCAAAACAACACACCCAATTCCAAGAAAATAGTGATGTATATTATGTACAAGATCATAACACACTTTAAAACCCTCAAATTATAGGTTTAATCAAATACTCATCACTAAAATCAAATTAGGGTTCAAAACATATAGTATACTCAAATCTCAAAATTTATATTTTCAAAGCAATACAATCAATTCTAAGAAAATAGTGATGTATATTATGTACAAGATCATAGCACACTTCAAAACCCACAAACCATAGGTTTAATCAAAAACCCATCACTAAAATCAAACTAGGGTTTCAAACCCACAACACTAAAATTATTCTTATGCATGTAGGTTCACAATTTATGACATACTCCACAATAAATCAAGTTTTATAACGAGTATGTTGTCATCAAATATATAGTAAGCTTTAACTAAAGAAAATAAATGAGATACACAATGTAAAATGCAAGAGAGAGGATAATTTCATCTAGAAATCAAGAATTTCAAACCAAGTTCCTGGGATTTTCAATCAAAATCGAAGCTTCAGAGACCTTTTTCTTCCATTTTCTCTTTCTCTTTATCTTCTCATAGGGTTCTAAGAAGTTTTGGGTGAGAGTGGAATGAAAGAAAAGAGGCTGAAATCTAGGTTTTAAACCCAGCAGTCCCAAATTTTTATTGTTCATGAGCCAAAAATATATATTTTTCTCTAAAATTACGATTTTGCTATTAAACATTTCAATTTGATCCAGATGACTACTCTAAGGTTTTTCGACGTTCCGAATTTATTTTTAATGCTATTTTAACCTAAAAATATTTAGTTTTATGATTTATCTCAAAACTAAAGTTAATTTACACCCAAAGCACTAAAATTATTATTTTATCCCTCCGAACAGCTATATAAACTAAACGTCCATTCCAAGTTTTTTTTCAGACCTCCCAGATTCAATAATAATATTATTTTGACCTTAAAAAAATTAATATTTTTACTTAGTTAAAAACTTGCGCGACTATTCCTGTAACAACAATTCGAAGTTTCTCTCATCATTTTAATCATTTTAAAAATACTAGTAAATTAATATCATTTATATTTATATAACACACGGGATCTCACAACCTCACGAGGTACTCAACTGTTTCAGGTCCTTGAGCCTTCATAGCGTTGAAGACGTCACCAAGTTGGTTTTGCACTTCGTTTATTTTCATGTCCCGGTGATTAGGGACTCCTTTGGAAAGGTCATTGAAGTGACTTTCATGGTCCAAACTCTTGTTTTCCCCTTGTCTTCTTGGAGAGGACTGTCACCAGCATGGAAGGACGGAACTGGTGGAGAAGAAGGAGGGGCCACCCCTTGCCGTTGAGGAGGGGCTCCCTGGTGCTGCAAGGGGGAGCCCTTGCGAGCGGCCTAGCGATGGATTCCCAGCTAGGGGCCTCCTTAGCACCCTGGCCAAGTTTTCATAGGTGTTCTCCTCATGGGTGCGTATCTCCTTGTCTAGCAAGCATCAACTGAAGGATCTGCTAGTTTTGACTCACCAACTACTGCATCATCTCTAGTAACATTTGCTGCGAGTCAGTAACGAAATTGATTGGCGGAGGCAAGACCTCATCCTCAAGTGTGGATCGTCCTCAGGTTGATTCATAGATCTAGTGGTGATTGCCATAAATACAAAAGGATGGTGATTTGGTGGAAACTTAATCGGTTCCCATAAATGACGTCAAACTGATGATGCATAAATTAATTTTTTGCATCATCTGTCAAGTAATTAATGCAGTAAATAAATAAAGATAGTCAACACAAGTAAGACATAATTTAAGTGGTTCAGTCAAGGCCACCTACTCCACTACGAAGGGCTAGGATGACCTAAGTGTTTTATTACTTCAAGGAGTGTTGGGTGCTTAAGTGTGAGTAATAGGCGAGATACAAGATGTGAGAAATACCCCCCATGTGTAGATGGGGCTTATAATTTATAGATGCCTCATAACAAATTGAAGCACCTTATTAATAATAGAAAGATTGATTTGGTGGTGTGGGCGTCATCCTCTCAAC